CCCCAAAACCCCAAAACCCCAAAACCCCAAAACCCCAACCAATAAATATATTATTGAATTGATTAAATAACCACAAAAGAGCATGAGTGTCACTACTATCACACCCAACGACTCTAACACTACCGAAGGAAGCAAGTAAGCCATTGACTCCCTTTCGGCTAATTCTCGATTAGCCGAAACTAACTTCTTGAGTTGTTTTGAGAATCTGGGGTATGAGCAAGGAGCTGTAGAAGTAAATTTAAGAGCAAAATGGGCAGGATGAACCCCGTTGAGGCATCCGCTCTATCATTACTTATCAGACTGCTAAATCCTAAGTTCTTTTCAAAGAGAGAAGTTATCCCATTAGTGGCTAGTCTAAGATAGTAGCATTACTCATAATTTTCTAGAACCCATGTCAAGCTTATCTAGGAAAAGTAATCACTAGATGTCGCAAACAAACAATTTCCTTCTTAGTGCTTAGCTTTCTGCAATTATTGTAATAATTTGGCAACTGGGCCGATACATATTGAGAATTAGGTACTTTTTATAATTTTATGAATGTTATTCATAGATTTAGTATTAAAATACATTGTTGTAAAATCCATTAAGCAAGATTTTTCAGGTCAAATACTAATACTTTCAAAGTTTATTATATAAATTTGGAAATTATGATATCAGTTGATTTGGGGAAGGAATGTTTATACAAGTTTTTCTAACAATTTTGGGTAATTATTAAAAATTTTCACCGGATTCTGTATTATATCATTGATAATGGAGGTAGAAATTATTTAATAAAACATCAATACTTTCTAATATTATAAAAGCTCAAGAAAGAACTTAGACCACTTAAAAGCTTCTATAACACTTCATTTGCTTATAAATGTAAATATTAGGTCTTAAATCAAGTACAAAAAGAGACTTTTCCAATTACTCAAAAACATACCACTCTTCTAATTTCAAATCCATCAACTCACCATTCCACAAATCATCACTTTTAAAATCCCATCAAACATCTCTAAACCCCATTACCTAACCCTCAAAACCAACCCCCTCCAAATTCCCACCCAAAACCCCTCCTTTTCCCTTCCAAACCCTCTTTTCCCAGTCACTCACTATTCCCTCTAGGTTCGTGCTGAAAGGATTCGTAGGCCAAGGGACTAAGGAAAGAACAGATAGTATAAGGTATTCGTTAAGGATAATGGATGATCAAGAGAGGAAGGAGAGGAAAGAGAGGAAGGAGAGAAAGAAGAGTGTTAATGTGCATTTTCAGGAGTCTAATGTGTTGCAGGTGAGTGGGAGGTAGTGAGGTTTAGTTGATCAAGATTGATGAATGTAAGAGAGAGATTAGAGAGTTGATTAAATAACCTCAAAAAGTCCAAGAATCTAGTACTTAGCAAGCACTCTATCTTTAAAAACTATGTACATGAAAAACTCGTACTTGAAAAAGAAAGTGAATCCAAGGCTAAAAGAGATCATAAGCATAAAATACGCTTGAGTCTTCTAGACGATGTCTCCTTTTATCACAATTTATGCCATGAGTTTAAAATTCAGACTAAAACTAGAAAGCAGAACTACAGGTCTAAGGTAAGAGACCATATAGAATTTATTACTGTTAAAAACCTCGATTGTTACTAAATTTGGTATAGAGATATAGCTCTTTGAGATACCCAGGAGAAAGAAACCTACCAGTAAGGATTTTAAATAACCTCTTATTTATGTGTTTAGGGGTCATCAGAATTGCAGAACTTAATGCAAGAGATACGAAAGACGAACAAAATCAAACACTATAAGGAACAATTAAACCCAATTAAAGCTGCTCCAAAGGTACTTTAGCAAACTCTGAATTTTAGGTAGATATTGTTCTTGATTTGGTAAAACAGTATCATAAAGCCAAAGATGAAGAGATGCAGAGCGATATTTGCTACAAGGCTACTATGAATAAGTTTATGTCCATCAAAAAGGAGCAAAACCAGCCTCTAGAAAATCAATCTGAAAGCGGAAAGAATGCCTTCTTGAATATCACCTTAAATGATGATGCTAATTCAAAAGAAGAACTTTACAAAAGTAAGTTCTAGTTGTGAATATTCTTAGGCTCTAAAGCAATGGCAATGATGAAGCCATCTCCTAGTAAAATGAAAAGAAAGTCTTTCCTCAAAGTTGAAAGTTTCAGTGTTGCTTCTATAGTAGACCTTATTGATTCTCCAGACAGAGTAGATGTGGGTGAGCAATCTTTGATGGCTGATAAAATCGAAGATGCACTTTATTTTGAGAATAAAATTGAAGGTAAAGGACCTCTCACCAGTGAGTATTCTGAAACTGAAGGTAAGCTTCATCCTTCTTAGCTATATGATAAGATAATTATTATATCTAAAATTTTGGTTTAGGTTCAGTGATGAAGCTAAAAATGACGAAAGAACCCTCATCTGTAGCTAAATCAAAGTAAGTTTTTACAGCACTTCATGCTCTCTCAAAAATAAAATAAAAAATTGGGTCCATCGAAGTCCAGAAAGCTGCTCAAATTTTGAATCTAAGAAGAGGCTCATTATTAACAGGGATTATTTTTCAGTTATTGACAAATTAAAAAACAGATAATAAATTACAATAATATTCTCTTAAGTATCATTGGTTTACACATAAAATTTAATTTAAAAGCAGTAAACTCTTATGAAATCCATAAAATTATTGAGCAGATGCTAGTTTTGCTCAAATTTAGATACCAAGAGTGTTTTATATAGTAAAATTTATAAGAAAACATTCGTAAAGATGGGTTAATGACTCATCTTAAGTAAACACCATATCGATTTGATAAATCATAGAGCTTTGAGGAAAATAAAAAATAGTATTTTAAGTTATTTCTATGCAAAAAGAGCTGCGTACGCTGAAGCTTTTAGCCAAATTATATATTATGTTATATCTGATCATTTATAGACCGATATGCGAAGAAGGAAAGATAACCAAAGGTCGTTTCACAAAATCAAAATTTTCAAAAGGGAGAAATTTTGGTCAAGATAAAATAGAAAGAATTCTTCCACCCATAAAAGGAGGAAGAAATAGTAATTCTCCCCTCCAACTTAACCGGACAATGTATTTTGATTGCAAGAATTTCAGAAGGTACTAATATGATGTAATGTTTTTATAGAAGCCTTGATAGCAGTACCCCACATAGCAGTACCATCCAGAAAGGAAAAGGAGGCATGAGAAAGATGCGAAGAGATCAAAGAAGGAGTATAGATCTATCAGATACTATGTATGTAAGCACTACAAAGAACATGAAAGATCAACTACCAGAAATTGATTTGGATAATGTCTTGGCTTGTTCCGCTCCCACCAAGAGATTAAAGAAGTTGACTAAGAGAGGAAAGATCCGTAAGAAATTTGGAGAGAAATAGTTTAACCCCATATTCATTTATTGCAAATTCAAAATTATATTCAATTCTTTGGCAATAGCAAGGGGTTTTGGGGTTTTGGGGTTTTGGGGTTTTGGGGTTTTGGGGTTTTGGGGTTTTGGGG